GCCCCCTTAGTACGCCGACTCTACGCTGCTATAATACCCGTATAGTGCTTCTATCGCCTAGTATTAACCTGCTTTATATCCGAAGTTAAGGCACTTAAAGCACCGTTATAGGGAGATCTCGGGGTTATAGGGTTCGCTATTATAGTGTCCGTAATTAAAGAAGACTCCCTCCTTTACTAGTTACTCCGCGTCCTTAGGGCGGGCGACCTTAATAGTTAGTAGCGCCGTCCGCGCTATATTATTCTTAGGTTTCTTAGCCTTAATCCGGGTAATCGCTACGTTATTCTATAGCCGAAGTTCTTATAGCGCTATATCGGGGTCGTAAGTTAGTAGCTACGCCGTTAGTATTCCTTTTACTATAACTTAGTATATTTTCTTGTGTATCGTAGCTCCTATACCGAATACGCTTTTAACCTAGTTATTCGCGTTCGCTATCTATTATTCGTTCCTATACTTAAACGTAAGAATCACGTCACCGCTTAGGAATTATCGCGCGGCTATTACGTCCACGTGGCGGGTAACTTAATTAACCGCCTTAATAATCTCTTATAGGGTTCGGCTTTTAAGGTCGGTCTTAGCGTCTCCGTATCGGACTATTAGCTCTCGGGCATATCGGGTAGGTATAACCTTTACCGGTACTATCTTAATACGTTAGCGCTACGCGGGCGTGCTCCCTACTACTTAGGCGTAGGTCTTAGGTCCTGTTACTCCGAGTAGTTCCGTTAATATACCCTTAATCGCTTATTAGATCGTGTCGGTAAGCCCTTTAGTTATAAGGGGGGGCACGTCGTTACCGGGTTATTAGCGTAGCAGCTTCCCTATAATAGTCTTATAGTGTTACGTTTAAAGAATCTTCTATGCTAGCTTTAGCGCCTTATCGGCGCTTACCCCGTTAGCTAGTAGTCCGGAAAATTAGGTACGCAGTTTATATAGTACGCCTTCGGTGCGCCCGCTTAGTGCCTAGGATTTTTAGGGCTCTCCCGGGGCCACGCGCCCCGGGTTAGTTCAAATTATCGTATTCTGGGCGCTCTATAGTGGTATACCGGTATCGCGTTCGGTTAGCTCTATAGGCCGCCCTATAGTATATAACTCACCGCGCCCTTTACAGTCTCGCTGCGATATCGGTCTCCGGTGCTTTTAAGGGCGTAGAGTCCGAATCCGATATCAGAATTGATTTTATCGATAATACGGCACCTTAGGGGCACTTTCGGCTTTACGATGCTTGTTTGGGTTTTGATTCTAACTATATAGTAAAAGCTAACAATTATTATACTAACCTAAAAGACTTATTTCTCTATACTACGGCTATAATACTATACCCGAGGCTTAGCCTTACTTAGTTAGAAGAGTATTAGACTATAGAATACTAATTACCTTAGTTAGTAATACTAAAAAAGAGCCTACTAAGTACTA